GCTACTGGACTCTTTTAGAATATTTTGCTGAGTTTACACACTTATAATATTCAGTAACGGAACTTAGAAAAAATGGGGTATACCTATGAATGTCCATTTTGTATCTGTGTATTCAAAGTGGTTGGGATAGATATATAGTTGCGTTCTCTTAATGAATAGAATGATTTGTTCTAATGGTGTTAGTAAATAGGATCACAAGTCCGTATCTTGTACAGCAATTAACCACTAAGAAGAATATATGCAGTGAATTATTTGTTGAAACTGTACTTCCGAATTGATTTGAAACTGTCTCATTGCTGTTTATCAATAAAACTTTGAAAATATATTTCACTCCTCCATTATATTTGAAAGATAGTTTTGCAGGACGGATCAGTCTGGGTTGGAATTTGTTTTCTTGCAAGACTTGAAGTACTTTGCTCCATGCTTCTCTTGACTTGATGGTTTGTGAAGAGAAATCTGCCATTATTCTGATGGGTTTTCCTTTAAATGTGATGTGTTTCTTTTCTTTAGCGGTTTTTCGTATACTGTTCCTATGCTGAATTTCAGGAATCTTGATTATTATATGTCTGGGTGTGGTTTTCATCGGATTGATACTATTTAACGTTCTATATGCTTCGGTTACAGGAACGTCAGATTGTTGCCCCATATTTGGGACGTTTTCTGCTATTACTTCTGCCCATATTCTTTTTATATCATTTGTATTGACTCCTTCCTTCTCATTGATACCTATTAGCCTCACATTGTTTATCTTTGCATCCTCTTGCACGTATTGAATTATTTTTTCCTGCATCCTAGTTGTTTTTAATATATCTTTTCTTACTTTTTCACTAGCTGCAATGGTGTCTTTCAGGTGAGAAAGTCTATTTTCACTTTCACACAAATGGTTTTACCAGCTTGTAAGTGAGGTTTTAATTTCCTGTATATCAGTTTGAACCTGTTTCATAGATTGTATTTCTTTCCTAAATTGTTTATTCAGGGGTTCCATCATTTTTATATTCTCCTCTATTTTTTTTATCAGTGTATTCTTTAGAAGCACTTAGTACTTCTTTGATTATAATTACCACTACATTTTTTAGTTCTGAAATTATTTCTGATCTGATTTCTTCTATACCTTTGTGCAGTTGATTCTTTACTGTCAATGCTATTATTCCAGAGATATCTGGAGTGTGATTTCCAGTTTCCTCAGTGCTAGTGTCTTCTGCCGTTGTACTGGTTGGACTCGGGGCCTGAGCGTACATTTTGTTCCTTCTCCTTGTCATTTTGTATACCACTGTCTTCTGACCTTTGGTGTAGAGCTTAGATAGAGTTATTACCTTCGCACCAGGTCCGGATCTATGAAGTTCAGATTCCTCCAGGTTGGTGTTGTTCGGATCTCGCTGCTGTGCTCCACTTCTTTCTGCTGCAGCTGTTAGAGTTGAACCCTTTGTGTCTCTCTGGCAAGATGTTCTGCTGCTGATTCAGCTGGGTGGGTCTTGCCTCTAGCCTCTTTGCAGGGAGTTCTGCTGAAGGGTTCCGTGCTGGCCCTGCGCTCTGGGTCTATTCAGGATCCCGCGGCCTGGGTCCTCTCACTCACCAAAAGCTACAACTGTTGTTGCATAGGTCCTGCTTTACCTTGGTCTTAACCACCCAGGAGAAAAGTATAAAAATGAAATATAAGAAGTAAAGCCATGCTGTTATGCTGAGCTGTAGGGGACTCAGGTAAACAATTTCTGACATTGCCAGTGAAGGAGAAGACCCAATACTATTATGGACTACTGAACTCTTTTAGATTATTTTGATGAGTTAACACACCTATAATATTCAAATAATGGAACTTAACAAAAAAAGGGGAAACTGTTGAATGTCCATTTTGTATCTGTATTCATAGTGGTTAGGATAGATATATAGTTACATTCTCTTAATGAATAGAGTTGTTTGCTCTGATGGTGTTTGTAGTTAGGATATCATGTCCTCATCTTGTACAGCAATTAACCACTGGGAGGAATGTATGCAATGTGTTAATTATTGAAACTGTACTACCAATTTGATTTGAAACTGTCTCATGGCTATTTGTTTTTCAATAAAATTATGGAAAAAATTATTTATTTTTTTAAAAAAGAAAAATATTTTATAAACTAATAAAACAAGTCCTTACATCTAAAAAAAAACTGCACAGCAAAGGAAAAAACAGAATGAAGAGACAAACTACAATGAGAGAAAATGTTGTCAGCTAGTCTTCAGATAGAGGATTAATTTCTAGAATATAGGCATTGGGGAGTTAGCACAGTGGCATAAGTGACTGGTAACTGAAAGGTTGTGAGTTCAATCCCAGATACCAAAAAATAATATATATTATATATATAATTATATCTGCAAAATAAAAGTCAATGGGCAATTGGATTGAATATATATTTCTCAAAAGAAGAAGTACAAATACCAATAAACACATTAAAAAAATTTCCACAACTTTGATCATTGAAGAAATGCAAGCCACTGACACTTCATGTTACACCAGTAAAAGTGGCTATTATCAAGGACTCAGAAAAACAATAAATGCTAGAGAGACTGTGGGAGGAAAGGAATTCTTCCACACTGTTGGTGGGAATGTAAACTGGTTACAACCACTATGGAAATGCCTCAAAAAACTAAAAGTGGAAATTCCATTTGACCTCACTATTTGTCTTCTGAGTATCTTCCTAGAAGAGTTAAAATAATAATATTACAGTGATAGATACACACCCATATTTATAGCTTCACAATTCACAATAACTACATTATGGAAAATGGTAATGCTATGATATGTGTATGCACCAGTTCCCTAAGATGAACATAATTATTCTGTATCACAAACATGTACTAATAAAAGGTAATGAGAGAGAGAGAGAGAGAGAGAGAGAGAGAGAGAGAGAGAGAAGGAAAGAAAGAAAGAAAGAAAGAAAGAAAGAAAGAAAGAAAAAAAGAGAAAGAAAACCTAGATACCATGTGGGGGACATTTAGCCTGCTTGGTGTTCTCTGTATCTTCTGAATTTGAGGTTTGGTGTCTGGAATTAACTCTGAGAAATTTTCAGTCATTATTACTTCAAATACATCTTCTTCTATTATTTTCTGTTTTTCTTTCAGTATCCACAACATGCACACATTATACCTTTTCTATTAATTCCATAGTTTTTAGATATTCTAGTGGTTTTCAGAGTTTTGTTCTAATTATCTTCGACCTCAGTTATTATTCCCTCAATCATCCCCAGTCTACTCATAATCCCATTAAAAGCATTCTTCAACCAGGCATCATGGCACACACTTGTAATCCCAGCACTTGTGAGGCTGAGGCAGGAGAATTATGAGCTCAAGACCAGCCTAGGCTGCATACTGAGATCCTGTACCAATACCCCCCCCCAAGAAAAACAAAAATAGTTGAATATGGATACCTTGGCAGGCTACTCTCCACGGGTCCTAAGTAGTTTAAGGGGAGCACACGGATCTCCCCAATGATGTAGAGTCCCTTCCTACAACACTGGAGCAGAAGTTGGCCTTTGATCTGCACCTGCATATTCCTCCAGCTTCTCAGTGTCCTTCAGGAAATGATTGAGGAGACAAACCATGCAGGAAACAGCTCTGGATCTCACAATCTGAATGTAAGTTAAGCCCATTTAAGAAAAATTTGTTTTAACCCCTTAGTTGATAAAATGAATTATTTCCATGATATTATTTTTCATCTATAGAATTCTTTCTGGGTTCTTTGCCAGATTGCTGACACTTGTTTTTCAAGATGTTACTACTCATAAAGTTTTATTACTGGGTTCTTTGTTATGATAACATTTCCCATCTGTGTTTGTATTGCTGTCCACTAGAACTAGTAAAAGTAGTAGTAAACATTCTAGCAGACAGCATGTAAACACAGTTGGGAAATGCAAACTGTTTCTGTAAAAACAGAATTTGGAAACTCAGAATAGCTGAAACTTTACTAGAATTTTTAACTTGTGAGTTGTTTGAAGTCCTCAGTCTGGTTACTTTAACATGCCTGGCATATGTGATTCTGTTTTAATGCTTGCTATTTCCTGTGCTCCCCCCTTTTAACATGTCTATAACTTTTTTTTTTTTTTTTTTTTTTGCAGAACCGGGGATTGAACGCAGGCCCTTGAGCTTTCCAGGCAAGCGCTTATTCTACTGAGCTATCTCCCTGACCCCTATAACTTTTTCTTGGTAACCAGGTGATGTACTAGGTAAAGGACTTGCTTTAAATAATGTTTCAGTTATACAATGGTAAGGTATGAGGGGAGGAGAATCACTTGATAGTCCTCTGATTAGATCTCAGTCTTTTAATGATCCCTTATCTCTGGATTACTCCACTTTTCCTGACACACATATATCTCCCCATTAGGTGGGACAAGGTAGCTAAAGCTGGCTGGAATTGGCTATTTTTCCTTTCCTTAGGTCATTTAAGCTCTGACAAAATCCTAAGAAAATCTCAAGAAGCTTAGGCTCCAGCTAAGTAGTTTTTACTAACAGCAGACCTTACTAGGAAGGCTGGAATGCTCTGAAATAGTTCCAAGAGGTTCCTTATCTTCTCTCTCCCAGAAGCAAGAAGGGTCTGTTTTTCTAGTTTCACTGTGAGAACCTAACAGGACCCCCAGTGGTAAAACACACAAAAGTGAGGGGTCCCCGTGATAACTGAATATCAGATTTATCCCTACTAAGCTTCCAGCAATTAATCAAGCACAATGACAGGTTCCCTTCCCTGACACTTGTTTTTCAAGATGTTGTTACTCATAAATTTTTATTGCAGTATGTTATTACTCTCTCTATTTGCTTGTTGGTCTTTGAAGTTTTTTTCTAGTTTCTTAATACCAAGCCAGAATTTGGAATCTCAGTATAATTTCATTTTTAAACAGAAAAACCCTGCTAGTAGCATGCCTAAAATTAAAAGTTTAAAAATATCCTGATACCCAATGTAGCCTCAAACATTGTGGTTTACTCAAACATTTTTTTCTTTTATCAAAAGCCAAATAAAAACCATGTGTTAATTTATGTATGTATTTTCAGGCAATTTTATTCAATAATAATCCCACATACCCCCCTATTTATATCACTTCTTTTCTGGATAAGATGGAATTTCCTGTAAGGAGTTCTAAAAGCCTGTTGTAGTAGTCTACATTTGTAATTTAAGTTACTGAGAGACCAAGCAGGAGAACTCTAGGACTAGCCTGGGCATCTTAGCAAGATTCTGCCTCAAAATAAAATATAAAAATGGCTAAAAAACCCCCAAAAATGGCTGAGGATGTAGCTCAGTGTAGAATACTTGCCCAGTATATGCAAGGTCCTGGATTCAAAATTAATGCTAGAAAAAAATTCTGCAAGCTTTTGTACCTTCTTTTCTTCACCCAATATTATTTTACTTGTTGCCAGCAGAATTTAAGAGTGGAGCAAAGTGAGGACAAAGACACAGCAAGAGGACTGGTGCTCAGGGGAAGCTTTCTTTCCTTGAGAGAAGTTGGGGAGTGGTTTATGAGATCAGATATCAAGAAGAACTTTAACCAGGCTGGGTACAGAGGAGGAACAGACTCAGCAGAACTGTGGCTTCTCACAGATCCACTGGCAGATCCACTCATCAGTGGACCAGTAGCCAGACTCTCCACTCATGTGCACATAATTAGAGTAACGCCAACCTTTTCTCCAGTTACTGTGAAAAAAAAATATACATGTCAGTCAGGTCCTATAATAACAGAACAGAGAAAAGGTATATCAAGCCCTTTCCAGGTGGGGTTCTCACTGCCAAGGTTCCAAATAAGAATCTGCATACCAGCCTCCAGGGTATTGGAGATGTGCAATAAAAGCTCCATACCATATATTATACTAAAGTTTCTACATCTTGGAGCTATTGATGTTTTCTGGGAAGGGCTGCCCTGTGCATACTAAAACACTGCATAGCATTCCTGTCTCTACCAACTAAAGGCAAATAGTCACACTAAGTTGTGAGAATGAAAATATTTACAGACTGTACAACATGTTCCTAGAGGACAAATAACTCCCACCTAAACATTATATATATTGGGGGATTGAACTCAGATCCTTGCGTTTGCCAGTCAAGCACTTATCCTACTGAGCCATCTCCCCGGCCCCCTTTAAACATTATTTTAAAACATCATCTGGTAAAATTACTTGTTTAACAAGTAAAATACATGTGATCTTAATAAACAGAGAATTGAGATCTCTGGAACCTTAGGACCTACATTTGAGGAAATCACGCTTTTGAGTGTCTGGCACGTAAAGAGATGCATAGTCTGTGAAATGTGCACCTACGTTCTTCCCTCAGTGGTTTTTGTTTTGCTTTGCTTTGCTTTGCTTTTTGAGACAGGGTCTTGCTCTGTAATCTAGATTGGCCTTGAAATCACTACGTAGCCTGGGTTGCCCTGAAACTCCAATAATCCTCTTGCCTCTGCTCCCCTAGTGCTGGGATTACAAGCATGAACAACCACACCCAGACCTTTTTGAGATGGGGTCTTGCTATGAGGCTGGCCTTTAGCTCACTTTGTAGCCCAGGCTGGGCTCAAACTCACAATGATCCTCCTACTTCAGCCTCACAAATACCAGGATAACAGACATGCACCACCACATCTGGTCCTTGTAAATGTTTTTAAAATGCTAACTTTCACTCTCCCCCTCTTAAACAGTTTGTGGAGCACACGCTATAGATTAAGCTCTATGCTGCAGATATAGATGGATAGGATGTTCTCTCTCTCCCCTCAGCCAGTCTGAAGGGTAACAAAAATTTAAACAAAGGAAAACCATAACAAAGAGAGTCACAAAAAATCTAGACACAGTCAAGATAATGAAAGGAGTTAATTAACCCATTCTAGGTACAAGATGGTTTCCATGAGACAGTACACCTGTCCAGAACTTGGCATACATATTGCAATTCATTAAGGAAATGTGTCTTGGAAGATAATATAGAAACATCAAAGGGGGAAGGGCTTTGCCCCATAAAATGAGTCATCTGTGAGCTATTTAAGACAAGAAGTTGGAGAAGACTTGGGAATGTAAAGAGTAAGGATATGGAATGAATGGGCATTGAATCATATCATCCTAAACAATCAAGGCCTCCATAAGCTATCCCAAGGATATTTTCTAAGGCCATGCCAACAATATGTTCAGGAATCTTGACACCATGGACTTGAGCAGAGGATGGTTTGACATGGATAAGACTAGATCTAGAATATATAGCAATTGAACAATCCAGAGACCATGAGCTGAGGCAGAAGCATGGGATGAAGGAGAGCAATGTATGCAAGAGTGGTTAGAAAGGTGGATGGCATTTTGGTAAAGCAACTATAAATCAAGAAAAATTAAAAGGTAGAAGCCCAAGTGTCATTGAATGCCATATTGAGAAGTTAAGACTAGATTCTTCGAGAAGTGTTTCTTCTAGCATCTTATAAGAAATACTAGAGATTTCAGGCACAAGATGTGGTAAGATATACAATTAGTTTTACATTTTAAAAGTTTAGGGGCCAAGGAGATGGCTCAGTAGAATAAGTGCTTCCCTGGCAAGCGTAAGGGTCTGAGTTCAATCCCTGGTTCTAAAAAAAAAAAAAAAAAAAAAGGCATATTGCATGACTCACCCAAAAAATATTCCCTTTCACTTCCAACACACTTATTGCATTATTTTGCACTTTCAAAAGCAATTCTGAAAGCCCTTTTTTGTTTCTTTATGAGGCATGGTCAAAATCCAGTGAACTGTGCTACCCAACAGAAAGGTTGGCTTGATAAATACTTCACAGTGTGCTCTCATATGTTTTTACTTATGGATCTGGCAATTTCTTACTGTTAATCCAAGTCAAAATGATTGTGAAAGATACTGTATGTTTTGAGAGGATTTAGGGATGAGAGGCAGCCATGGCAAGAGAGGACTTCCAGAACTGCTTTAGAAAATTACAAGAGAGAGCGCAGGTCCTGGGAGTGAGTGAGACACCGGGCCACAGAATCCTGAATAGACCCAGAGCGCAGGCCCCTTGAGTGAGTGAGACCACCAAGGGCCGCGGATCTTCATTCGACCCAGAGTGCAGGCCCAGCACGGAACCCTTCAGCAGAACTCCCTGCAAGGAGGCTAGAGGCAAGACCCACCCAGCTGATTCAG